CAATTATTGTTTGAAGGGAAATTATAATTTTTTTCCATTCCAATCATTCTGTATTTACCAAAATTTTCCTAATAAATTTGCATTCCTATTAGATTTAAATTCCCCTGCTTGCCTATCCACAGCCCTGTTAAAGAAATAGATATAATTTAAATCTAAATGTCTTAAATCCAAAGGTTAGTAGTGCTTCTCTACACAAAGTATTATGTCTGTGAATTAAATTTAACCGAGTCCAGAACTGAACTTGTGGTCGGAACACCAGGATCAATTATAAAAATTTTGTTTTTAATTTTGAGATTCTTGTAGATTCACAGGCAGCTCTAAGAAATTATACAGTGAAATCCTGTATGCCCTCCCCATTTTCTGTCAGTGGTACCTCTTGCGGAACTACAATATCACACCAGGAAATTGACATCGGTACAATCCACAGACCTTTCTCAGATTTCACCAGTTTTACCTGCACTCATTTGCATGTATATATGTGTATATTAAATTCTAAGCATCAGATCTCCTGTGTGGGCTCATGTGACCACCACCCCAGTCAAGTCTCAGAACAGTCCATCTCACTATTGCTCCCTTGAATAGCCACAGCCCCCCTTCTCTCCCTCCCGGGCTCCCTAACTCCCAGCAATGTTGATCAATAACAGTCATTACTTGGTCAATAAGTTATTGATGCCCCATGTGCAAATCACTATGCCAGGCACTGGAGGGTCATGACACACATCTAAATAAAATGAGAAGTGCCACCTAGTAATTGGGAGTAAGAGCGGGAACCAGTCTAACTGGGTTCAAATCTTGGGTGTGCCCTTACCAGCTGTGAGACCTTGGCACACTCTCTGTACCGGTTTCTCCTTCAATAAAATGAGGCTAATAATATAACCTTCCAGAGTTGTTACGAGGTCCAGCGAGTTATTTGTAAAGCCAGTAGAAAGTGCCTGCCATGAATACATGTGTGTTCAGACCTAAGAACTCTCAGTCTAGGGGAGGACATATGAAACTCCAATTGGGTCACTGAACTGCATGAAGTGAGGCAATATCCGGGCTCACACAGCACAGAGGGAGGGGTGAGGGGGGTGAGGGAGGGAGCAGTTTATCCTGGCTGGGGAAAGCTGAGTAGGCTTCACAGGAAAGAGAATATTCAGGCTGGGCTTGGAAGTATGAGTAAGACTTTGACAGAAATGACAGAGAAGGGACAATGTTTCACACCAATAAAACAACAGTGATCTGTGGCCCTGAGGCAGGAGAGGCAAAGGCCATCCTGAGAGGCCTACTGGGTTGAACTGAAGCCCATGAGGAAGCTGGGGGTGCAGGTAAGTGGGCACGGATGTGCATGAAGGGAGGGCAGGGCCGAGCCAGGATCCAGGGGGTCCTGAATGCTGTGTTATAATTAATCCAAAACCCTGCCCATGGGAGGAGGGGCTAGAATGGATGCGTAAGTGCTTCCTAAATGCCAAATCCAAGCGGCAGTGATTTATTATTCCTCCAGCCTGATTAAACCGTAGCAACAGCCACCGCATCTTAAACATGGTCACTGTTCTTGGTAGAAGCATAAAACCTGGAGCGTCTGGGGGCACGGGGATGAGAGGGTATTAGGCTGACTCATGCCGGAACCTGTTTTCTCCCTGCCAGGGCAGGTCCCACGGAGCCAGGTGTTCTCAATGTCCTTCACCGGCAACTCAAGCCATCCTTTTCTGGGATTTCTGAAGGAAGCTGCCGGGCAGACTTGGGCAGCTCCCAACAGTGCCCAGCCTTGCGCACCATCAGCTTGTTGTCATGGCCCATGGTGTTTATCTGATCACCTGTTTGCTGTCTTCAGGCTCAGGACATCCCGGTCCCGGAACGTGTGACAGGCGCCAGCCTCCCTTTCCGTCCCCCGTCTTGGATGGGGCTCCCCTCCTGGCCATCTCCCAGGGCCCTTGCCTCCCATGTTTGCTGTGACTATGACCCCTCTCTACCCAGGGCCTGTCCAGACTTCTGCCTGTCCTTCCCAAGGTATTCTCACCTCTCTGGTCCCAGGCCTCCCAGCGACCCATTGTCATCCACACCTGGGCCTGGCACACGGGACAAGAACAGCTACCTTGTGTTTCTGCTTTGAAATTTTTTCTCAGCCAGCCGCCTTCTTCTGGCTCTTCTTTTCATTACGGAGAGAGAGGCTGGAAGGACAAAGAACACTTATTTCACTTGCTTAACCTAATGATACGGTCAACTCTAAATAGAAAGAAATGATTGATTATATTCTCCAGCACCCGCCGTGTTTCTTTCTGTGCTGCCATTCTAGCCATGAGAAGACAAAGATGTTGGAATGAAGAGGGTGGTAGTGGGGGCTTACAGTATGGCTCTGAAAACTTAAGAAACCAAAAAATAAAAATCTTCCCTCTAAATAAAGTTGAGCATCTGAACTTGTCTGAAGATCATGAAGATGAAATGTAACCAAAGACTTGGAAATAAACATTCCCAACTGCCCCTAAAGCACCACCACTTTATCCTCCTTGTAAAGAGCAGTCTTTCTTCCCTACCGCCTTCCCTGGACTTTTAATAGTGTATATTATAAATACCACTCCTTCTCAACAAAACACATCAAAACATTCTTCCCCAGCCTTAGTAGGCCAAATTCATTTGTGGCCATTAGATCAAATTTTCCTGTAAAGAAGAAAAACTGTCATTTATAAAAAGAAAGAAAGAAAAAGTCACACAAAAGCAAACCAAGAATATTAAGACTGAGAAAGACAACTTGAATTTTTCTATTGTCATAGCCCAAGCCCAACAAATTCAATTATTTATGTGTTTAGACGATGCCAACATCTTCAAGGCCCTCAGCTGCAGGCACACCTTCTCACACGGCCGGACCCCTTCCCTCTCACTGTGCGAGGGCTGTGCCAGGTCTGTGGCTGCTTTGTCGCTCTGCCTGTCTGACCCTCATGGGGCAGAGGGCCACCAGACAGAGGAAAAAACAAGAGTGATGGCAGAGAGGGTGATTCACTCCTAGCTAGATGAGCTGGGATAATCTATTAAGAAATTAGCTGTGCCCTGATCCTCAATGCAGCAGACACCTCAGCAAAAGGACCGAAGGCCATTTCCTGCCCCCATGGCAGTACCTGGGGGAACGTACCCACCCCAGGTCCGTGGTTTTACTCGACTAGGGTTTCTGGAAGGTCTAAGAGTGTCTCATTCTCTAACATAAACAAAAATGACCTGAGGGGTGTGTTGCAATGGCTATTTCTGAGTTCCTCTCTGGACCTACCAATTCAAATTTCTGGGGATGGAACCCGGGAGCCACAATTTTAACAAATTCCTTAAGAAATTCTTTTCCAGAGGGTTTTAAGGACAGGCTGAGAAACACTAGGTCAAGAGAGGCAATAAAATTGGCATCCCCTGGGCGCAGCAAGCAGACTGAGCAGCTGAGGGGGTGGCTGAAAGGACTGGAGTGGGGAAGGGTCCTATCCCGGCTGGGGCCTGGTCTTTATGTCCTGGGCAGGCAGGGGCACCGCACACTTGAAGCAGGGCTGTGACAGGGTAAGCTCTGCGTTGAACGGGCCTCCTTTCCACCTTCAGCTCACAGCTCATGGCTCAACCTCTCCAAGAAGGCCTTTCCTGCCTCCATCCCCCAATCCTAGTCCAGGGGCGGCTCCTGCTCCTCTGAGCACCTGATCAGCCTGTGCAGATTCTAACTCACTGCTGGTCACGCTACAATGACACTGTCCATTTACTTGTGTTTCTGTTCTCATCCCCTCTCCCTGAGGAAGCTCCCGTGGGTAAGGCAGGGCCTGTGCACAGAGCCTGGCATACAATAGGTGTCCTCTAATTGTTTAATCAAACAGACACTTGGGCTCCTTCTACACCATGTCACCGCCAACAGGCCTGGTTTTTCATGCAGTCACTTCGCTGCCCCCACTCCTTGCTCACATGGCCTACAATGCTTCATCTGCAGCCCTATTTCTAAACCCCTCATTTACCAGACGATACATGAGTCTTACAGGAGACAGAAGGAAACATAGATACCGAAGTTTTAATCATATTGTCACAAAGTTACTCTGTTTATATTTTTATATTTCAGAAATAACTAAAGCTCTCACAACTCTCCGAAGTCCACATGTGTAGGTCAAGCCCCTCCAAAGGATTTCAGGCACAGGAAAATGTACCCAGTAGGTGATTACAGCATGAAAGCAGCTGGTGTCCACAAACTTTTAAATCCTAAAAGCGAAACACCTGGATTCTGTTCTGGACGCCCCCCTCCCCTCCCTCCCAGCTCCAACCACCTGTTTCAATCCGGCCGGCGCCTCTCGCTCAAGAACAGATGTGTGGAAGAGCCAAGACTTTTAAATTCTGAAATTTTATAAAGAAGGCAAGACACATTCCACGAACTAGGAATTAGATCGCGCGCCTGAGATCTCCCCAGGACCCTCGTTCGTGTTCAGAGCCTAAAGCTGCGACCCCAGGCGGGCGGGAACGGGACGAACCTCGCCTTGCTCTGCCTTCTGAGGCCTGTGCTTGGCCTCCGGGGCCCTGCACTCGGCCCCGTCCGGGAGGGTGGCACCCTGCAGCTGGGTTCCTGCAGCCCGCCGCTCTCGGGGCCGGGACCTTCAGCGCAGACCCGGGTCGGGCGGCTCCTCTACCCGGGGGCATGGAGACCGACCGCCAAGGCTCGGGGCTCCCTTCGGGGCTCCAGAAGCCGCTCCCCCCGGGTCTCCCGGAGGGCCTGTCCCAGCCGCAGGCCGTGCCCCAGGCCCTCACCCAGTGCGCCCGGGTGCTGGGGCTCCAGGACCGCCCTGCGCCCCGAGCGAGCTCACGCCGGCCGCCCGCGCCTCCGCGTGCACCCCCGCCCAGCCCCGCACCTGGCCGCCGGCGCCGCTCGGCTCTCGCAGCTGCCCCACGAGGCGTCCCGCCGCCTCGCCCCGCGGCAGGGTGGGGGCGCGGGCTCCCCGCCCGTGGGGCCGCGCACCTGCCCGCGCCGGAGGCTTCATTAGGCCGCGCCCGAGCTCGGCGGCCGCCGCCGAGTCCAGGCCATGGAGCCCGCACCGGAGGCCTGCCAGGAGCCGCGGGGTGAGCGCCCCAGGCGTGGGCGGCGGGGCGGGGTCCGGGAGCCCACCCCGTCGCACCCTCCTGCCCCGGGGTCCGACCTGTCTTCCTGCGGGGGAGACAAGGCGGGGTGGGGTCCCAGGCTCTCCTGGTCCGGGTTCCGATACCATCACCTTTCTCCCAGGCCATAGCACGCTGGTAGGTGGCATTTATTGAGCACCTAGCGGTGCGCCGTTTTGCTAGGCTACAAGCCCTCCTAAAATGCCGTGAAACCAGGCTGTCTCTTCTTCCCCAGTAATTCGGCCTTGCGCCTTCACCCGCAGAGGCCTGCCCTCTCTCTCCACCCACTTCAGGCCCCTTCTGCCAGCCGGTGCTAAGGCGAACCCTAGAAAGGGTTGGACAAAGTGCCCTAGCCCATCCGTCCTTGGCAGTCCAAGTCTCTTTCCGGGTCGGTAGAAAGTCATTACTTAAAATACTGTATCATGTAATTTGCATTCAAGTAACAATAGATGTTAGTCACTACTAAGCTTGCATTTAAAAATACTCCAGTTTAGTTCAAAGTAAGAAAACCACTACTCGGGTCGAAGGTTGTGGGGTTTATGGATAGTGTGGAGAGGAGGGTGACCAGGGAAGGACTGGGTACAGGGATTTAGAGCACTGTGTTGTGTGGTCCTGGACAAATCACTTAAGTGTTCTGATCCATATTTCTTCATCTGTTAGAAGATGAGATATTAATAGTGCCTTCCTGGGGGGGATTAAATGCTATACTGTTCTTATCTTTGAAAGGGGCTTAGAACAATGCCTGGGACATGGTGGGTGCCTGAGCAATCCCTCAGGCTCAAAGAAAAAGATGCGCTTCACGGATGAGTGGTCATGGCTCTGCACCAGCGGTGGGGGTGGGAGGGAGGGTCTCCCTTGCCTGTGAAAGGAGGGCTGGCCTGGGCCCGAGGCCCCTGAGGGAGGGTCTGCTTTGCCGGGAGGCGGGGCAGGAACAGAGCGAGCTCTGGGGAGGGGGAGGGCAGTCGCTCCTGTGGGCTCCTCTGATATCCTTGCCGGCCTCCTGGAGGCCACCCAGTTCCATCTGGCCTGCTCTGTCTGCTGCTTTCTCTGCAGCAAGAGGTAGGTCCGTTCTTAGAAGAAACAGAATTGCAATCTCTCTGTCTCCTTTCAGTCCACTCCCTACACTTGTCCCTGGGAAACGCCTGAACATTGGCCTAACCTCCAGTTAACGCCTCAGCTGTCTGGGGAAACACAGGGGCTCATGGGATGTGTGCTCCCCAGCAGGGCTGCTCCCCTACCTCATGGGTGTGAGCTCAGGCCCCCTCAGAGCTGCATATATTGCTTTCATTTTTCAAAGCAGTTAGATTATCTGATTTGACCCTCACAATACCTAAGTTAGGAAGGTAAACCTGAATTATCACTCCATCTGATAAATGGACAAATTAAAGTTTAGGGTCAGCCAGCCTCAGAGCAGGAGGCGGCGTTTCCTCGTGGCCGGGCTCCCCTCCTCCCTGGTGCTGAGGTCAGTGGGTGCTGGCTCTCCACAGGCCGGGAAGGTGGAAGTAAGCCCCTGGCTGCCGGGCTGGAGGAGGAGGAGGGGGAACCTCGGCGGAGTTCAGCCCCCCACACCCAGGATGCCCCATGTGAGGAACTGCCCGTCGCCCGCACCGTCTCGGGGGAGAAGAAGCTGTCTCAGGACCCGGCAGAGCCAATGGGGGCTGCTGCTGGGAGGGCGTGCCAGCCCCTGGGCTCATGGGCTCCCCCCAGAGACAAGACTCTGTCCGCACCCGGACCCCAGGCTCAGCCGGAAGGCTGCTCCCTCCTGGTGAGAGAGGAGACGCAGGGGAAGAGGTCCCACTCTGCAGCCCCCAGTAAGCAGAAAAATCCCAACGCCGTGGGTCTGGCACCCACGTCACCTCCTGGTGCTACTGCCTCAGCCCGAGCCGTGCACAACCCAGTGCCCTGTGGGTCGGGCCGGGGGCCCTGCCATCTGGCCAACCTCCTGAGCACACTGGCCCACAAGGGCCAAAACACAGACCAGAAGAAGAGGCCCCCGGAAGTGACCTGTCAGGTTCGGAAAAAAACCCGAACCCTGTACCGCTCAGGTAAGTCCCTGAAGGTGAGAGGAACCCTAAGAGCTCTGGCGTCATCTCTGGGAGAGGCAGGCTCCGCAGAGAAGGCGACCCAGAAGATGGGAGTGGGGGGCATTTGTACATCACCTCGTCCTGGATCCTTGACCTGTGGCAGGGCCATGACCTCTGCCCCTCAGAAGGCTGTGTAGCCTCATGGGAGAGTGAACTTGGGACAGGGTCAGAAAGGGCAGGAAAGTACACCCACACAGCGCCCCGCCGCGAACCTCAGCCCCGAGGGGAAGGTCACTGGAGCGCTCCGGAGGGCCCTGGGGCGGGGGCAGCGGGCCGCCTGGAAGGCACCTGCCTTCTCCTCTGCGGCCCGTCACTGGGGTTTGTCCCCACGAGAGTTTCTTCTTCCAGACCAGCTGGAGGAGCTGGAGAGACTCTTCCAAGAAGACCACTACCCGGACAGCGATAAGCGCCGGGAGATTGCCCAGACGGTGGGGGTCACTCCGCAGCGCATCATGGTAAAGGGGGCTGGCCAACAGCCTCGGGTGGCGGGGGACCCACCAGCCGGGGCTCCAAGAGCAGAGCGCGTGCTCAGCCCCAGCCTGGATAGGGGCTGAGGTTAGGTCCCGGCTCAGGCTGTGTTCTCGCCTGTGGGAGCGCCGCTTCAGCCTTAGAATATTAGAAGAGGGGGGTACCTCAGGCTACCGAGAGGAACCGTTTTATAAAGCCCATCTGGCAGAGAGAGGCATCCGAAGCTAAATGGTAAAGTGACCGCTTAAAGGCATGGCGCTCACCACGTGACCGTCAGGACCTGCGTCCCACTCGCTACCCTGCTTCTCAAGCTCTTGAAGTGTCTCCCTGACAGGTGTGGTTCCAGAATCGCAGGGCAAAGTGGCGAAAACTGGAGAAACTGAATGAGAAAGAGAGCAAGGAAGGTCCCGCAGGCCCGGCCCTGGCCAGCAGTCAGTGTGGGAAAGGAAGTCTCCTCCCGCATCATCCCTGCAGGTAGAAAGTGGGGTCTCAGCTGGGATCCTGGGGTCTAGAAGGAGAGACTGAGTGTTGGAAGGCTCTGCGTGAGACCTGGAGTTGTTAGAGGCTCACAGATAGAGGGATCTGGGTGGATGGGGCCAGGACAGTGCCAGTGCCTGGCAGGGATGCAGAGTTTGGGAATCTGGTGTCCTTTCCCAGCACAGCAGCCCTGGTCTAAATCCAGGGCCCACTGGGGCTACAGTCTACATTCTGTCCACCTCCAGCTCTGCAGCCGAGCAGCCCCCGACTGTGCCCATGGACCCAGGGTCTGAAATCTTCCCTTGTGAACCCCCTCTGGGTACTCTTGCAGGTGAGCTGACCACCTTCCGAGGGCTCTCTGGGGGAGATGCAGCTAGGAACACAGCAGAGACGGGGACCTCTCTGGATAGATGAGAGGGCCAAAGCTCTCTGGTGTTTGCCCCAGTGGGGCCTGAAAGGGGGCCCTGGACACAGCCCACTTCTGTCTAGCAGGCCCCAGTGTGCCTGCCGTTTCCTGACCCTTACGACCCCCCTTTGACTTCTGATCCTAGAGCCCCCCTTGCTGCTGACGTCTGACCAGCCCCTGGCCCAACCCCAGCAGGGTGAGAGTGCTCAGAGGGTGACTGTGACTCCACCACTCTTCAGCCCCCCACCCGTTCGAAGAGCCAACCTTTCTTTTCCCCTCGGCCCTGTCCACACCCCACAACTGATGCCCCTGCTCCTGGACACTCCTGGCAATGACAGCAGCCACAAGGATGGTGCCTGTGGGCCCTGGGGGCCAAGGTATGGGACCCAATAGGGTAGGGGAAGGGTTAGCTGAGAGAGGCAGGGGTAGTAAATGTGATGAGGATTAAAGGAGAAGGGGGTTTGGGCTGGAGGGATCTAGGACATGACACAGTAGTCCAGGGACAAGGGTGAGCGGCCAGGGGCAGGAAAAGGAGGAGAGGGCAGCACGTGCAGGCCACGCATTGGGGAGAGGAAGGGAGGGGAAGGGACCTGCATACCAGTGCTAGGGACAAGAAGGCCACCCCTGGGCCTCTCTGTCCCCCACAGCATCACGCCACCGCCCACCTGCTCATACTTGGAGGAGCTGGAACCCTCGGATTACCAGCAGAGCACCCAGATGGGCCCATTCCCGCTATCCCAGGGTGCACAGACGCAGCTTTGCCCCCACCCTCAGCCCCAGGTTTCATACCTGCATCCCTTCCCCTTCCACGTGCCCGGGTCACTGACGCCTCCACTGCCAGAAGACTCCCTCTTCATGCTGCCTTATGGCCCCAGTGGGGGCCCATCACAGGGCTACTTCCCAGGCCCCCCATCTGGGCAGATCCTGCTGCAGCCCCCTACCGGGAATCTGGGTGAGTCGGGACGGGAAGCGAAGGTACCCTGCTTGATCGAGGAAGGTGAGGAGGGACAGAGGGGGCCTCCTCGGCTAGAAGGAGGCCAAGGCAGCGCACGGTGGTGAGCCAACTGCTCTTCCTGGCCCCTGGGGGTCATTGTGAGGCTCCTTCTCCTCCTCATTCTTGGACACTGCAGAGCAGAGAACCAGCAAGGGAGCTCCAGAGAGCGGGAGTCTAGCTCAGCAGGTGCGAGCTCTCCTGAGTTTGTTTCCTGGACTCGGGAACAGGAATAATATTCCCATGTCATGGGGGGACTTGGTGAGGATGAGAGCAACCTGAATGAAATACTTGGCACCGAGAAGATGGCAGCCACATTAGCACTCTAGGTGCCACTTGGTTCCTTCCAGGTTTCAGAAGTCCATCTTGTTAAGACTGACTTCCAGGGGAGGGAAAGAAAGATGTGTCTGGTTGGTTCTTGGCCTTGGGTTGCCTGCATACCTCGGGCACTTGGCCCAACCCATGATGCACTTGGCACTGATGTTAGCACACCACAGGACCTGGTGTCAGGCACAAGCCTGGGCCTGAGGGGAGCACCTGATGCTGGTAGTCCACCCGGACTTGCACTGGGCTCCTCCTGTGTTTCTGTGGAGGAGGAGGAAGGAGACCCTGTCACAGACCACGTTGCACTGCAGTGGATCCCCTTAATCCTGTCTGATCTTTCTTGTGCTCCAACCCCACAGGTACAGTCCCTTGGAGTGAGCCCTGCCTGCCAGAACTGCCTTTCCTCAGCGCCTTCTGTTCCCAAGCACTGGGGCACCCCCCAGCAGCTGACGGCTACTTCCCCGACCTGCTTCCAGCTCCCTATGCTCAGGCCATGGGCGGGCAGCCTTCTCCAAGTCTCAGCCAGCCGCCGAACGGGGCCAGACCAGGAACCAGGCCCTCACTCAGCAAGGCCCAAGAGGAGCAGCCCTCCGCGCCAGACAAGGTCTGAGCGGAAGACAAGAACAGCCATGGGGCCGAGGAGGGGAAAGAGGCTGCTTGGCAGGGAGGGCAGAAAAATGTTAGGAAAGACTATGGACTCTGTTGACAGGGGCGGAAGCCGGGGGCTCCCCTGGGTGGGCTCATCTTGCTGAGCACTGATTTGAGAAGGACAAGGGCTGTCTCTACACCTCTGTATGGTGTCCTGAAGAAGACAGGTGGCCTGCGTTACTTCTAGACATTGTATCACTTTATGTTTCCATGCAGACGAATGGGTCAACGGGTCCATTGTAAGCAGTAAACTAGTCTGTCCTTGAGTCTCAGCCATGACGTGTCCCCCACCCCTGCTAGTTCAGAGCTCCGTTGTGTCCACTGCGCAGCACGCAGCCACCCAGTTGGTGGATGTAGTCCTGGGCAGCCCAGCCGAGGTCTCCCTGGCATCCTCCCTGGGCCCATCTCTCCTGCTGGAGGAGGAACTGGGCATCTTGGTCTTGTCTTTAGTCCTGCCATTAAACCGCGTTCTATTCCCAAATTCAGGACCGAACCTGAGCAAATCTGGGCCTGTCCTCTCTTGAATTTGGGTCCTGTAGGGTTAGGGTTGCAGGAGAAGCCCAAGGATATTCTAGATCCAGTCTCTGGTATTGTGAATTGAGATCCATTCTCCTCAAGCTCCTTTTCTGAGGGGATGGCGTAGGAATGAGGGGTGGGAGCACCCAGAAGAGAGTACCCTTATAAGTAGCACCCACATCAGCTGGCCCTCCAGTGCCCAAAGAGCTAGGATTTGAGAATATTGATCCAAACTGCTTCATAGTGTATTTGGGAAGTGTGGAGGTGCCATTCTGGACCTCCAAATGCTGTGATTCTTGGAAAATACATTTTATTTTCCAAAACGTGTATTAAAAGCAATCATTAATATGTATCCTTTATCACAGTTCTAGGCTTATGGCCCAGAAGAATTGAAAAGGAAAACTATTTGGAAATGGGGAAGAAACTTCTCAGTTGTGCAAACACATGTCCGTTATCTGTGGGGTTCTATAGACGGACGGTACTGAGCAGCTCTGCTCTGGGATTCTAGGCAGCTTTTCCTATTGCCACTCAAGGATTGTAATAGCCAGGCTTCAGTTGCCTCAATTTGGGGATTTGAATGTACACATTGAAATATTAAATGTATCGTGACATTCAAAACTGGGTTTTTTTAAAGTATACATTTCACTTATCTTGTTTTCACATTGTCTCCTGAGACCCATGACGTAAGAAGCATCCTAAAAGCAGACATGGGGGAAGAGATGAGAGGTGGTAACTCTTCAGTTACGTCTTGCTGTTCCTTTCTTTCCCTCAGTTGCCACAATGTTCTGCTGCTTTCAAAGCCTTATGGGGAGGCTGCATATTCTCTCCTCCAGACCTTAACTGGTTCGGGCTCCAGCCACTCAGTCGCATACTGGTATGGGACAAATGTAACTGTGTAGACTTGTAAGGCAAGAATTGAAGGCTGATCTCCTTTGAGATCTGTGCTTTCATGCAACACTTCGATAAAAAGTGCTGGACAATCTAGTAATATACTTAAAGTAAAATGAGTTAACTGAGAATTAAGGATGAATAATAGACCAAACAAAAAGAAAATGGTGAAAACCTCTTAGAAGCATAGAATCCTTGAGGTGCAAGAAACCTGACAAAGGCAGGACTCCCTCTAGACCACTGATGGCAGGATCAGACTTGATTTTGCAGGCTGGAGTGGGCTGTAGAGCAGGGGGCAGCTAACTCCCTTACACAAGAGCCTATCGGGTTTTTGAGATTTTAATTATTACAAAGCCCTTCCACTAGGAGGAAGTCAATATTGTTTAATCTGAATTTTGCTTTGCATATGCTACAAAGAATAAAGATGAGAACTATATGTCATTCCTCGAAGACCTGCCCGTGTGGCTTGGTCCCCAGGTACTTAACCACACTCAATGCCTCTTTTCAAATGGATATGAATTTATGACAGTTCCTTTTAGGAATGGTGCCAAAGCAGAAGCTTACTTTGAATGTAGTTTAGTCAAACGTGATGTAGAGTGTGACTGTCACCTCTATCAAATAGGCCACTCTCCTATTAATACTGTCTGGACAGAGGAATTGGCTTCCTTTTTTTATTTTTATTTTTGCAGCCAGTTCCTATTTCTTGGTCAGAAACAAACTTACCATCAACTATTACCCTAGCTCATTTTAATAGAAGCTGTTTTAAAACCATTCTCTCTGTTTTTGTATTTGGAGAGTTGACACTTTGAATCCAAATATACAAAAATATCACTTCTATTGCTTGTTCAGTTTCATTGGGTTAATTCCGGCCACTATTGAGCTTATTAAGATGCTTTGAAGTCCTTCTATAACACTCGCCATTTTTTTGAAATTTTGTTGGCTCTGCAAATTTGATCAGTATGCTTTCTACATTTTATAAACAAGTCATTGATAACTAGTAAACAGGATATAAATAAGTCCAGAATATTTTGACATCTCTTCTTGAAAATACTCCACAAATGAGGACTTATTTTGACTGGAGAGTTAAACTAGCTACAACATCCTCCTGAACTATATTATCACCCAGAGCCGTCCTTTGTCATCTGTAGGACTTTGGGAAAGGGTTTTTGGGAAAACCTTCACTGTCTGACTCACTAACATCAAAACACATTCTCATTATAATAGCACTCTGACAATTTAACAATTCCTGTAAACCTAAGAACATAATCAATGAGATCAGTATGACACGACTTATTCTTAGGGAACACCTGCACGCTTCTGTGATTTTTTTATCGAAGTGCTCACAAACTTTCAATAATCTCTTCTAGAAATGTATGAGAATTTTACATTAAATTTATTCTCTTTTAGTTTCTACACATCTCTTTGAAAATTAGGAAAATTGCCTCTGACCTACAGATCCTCTCCTGTTGTGTTCTGGAAAAAAACATAGAATCATTTAAATCAGTTTTAAGACTCCTTTTTGGGTTTTAAGACCATCTCATTTTTTTTTGTCCATCCCTTTTAATTTCTAGAATATATTCCTTTTTGAAGACAACAGGCTAATCACATAAGAGTCAAGGACTTCTGCTTTCTCTGAATTCTATGTAGACATCCTAATGTCTGCCTTGAGGAAGATATTTAGTGTTTCCCTGTTCTTCCACTTCCACGCTTGGTTTTATAATTGTCGTTGTGAGTGTTACTGTTAGCATTGGTCTTCAGCAGGCTTGGTTTTATAATTGTCGTTGTGAGTGTTACTGTTAGCATTGGTCTTCAGCAGGCTTGGTTTTATAATTGTCGTTGTGAGTGTTACTGTTAGCATTGGTCTTCAGCAGGCTTGGTTTTATAATTGTCGTTGTGAGTGTTACTGTTAGCATTGGTCTTCAGCAGGCTTGGTTTTATAATTGTTGTTGTGAGTGTTACTGTTAGCATTGGTCTTCAGCAGGCTTGGTTTTATAATTGTTGTTGTGAGTGTTACTGTTAGCATTGGTCTTCAGCAGGCTTGGTTTTATAATTGTTGTTGTGAGTGTTACTGTTAGCATTGGTCTTCAGCAGGCTTGGTTTTATAATTGTTGTTGTGAGTGTTACTGTTAGCATTGGTCTTCAGCAGGCTTGGTTTTATAATTGTTGTTGTGAGTGTTACTGTTAGCATTGGTCTTCAGCAGGCTTGGTTTTATAATTGTTGTTGTGAGTGTTACTGTTAGCATTGGTCTTCAGCAGGCTTGGTTTTATAATTGTTGTTGTGAGTGTTACTGTTAGCATTGGTCTTCAGCAGGCTTGGTTTTATAATTGTTGTTGTGAGTGT